ACACTACTACTAAGCGAACACACTAGACACCTATAAAAAGGCATAGAGGGCTTATCTCTCCTTTAAGATACTAAATACTATTATTAACGCTTATTGCATTCTTCCCTTAAGGCCAGTCCATAACATAAACGTGTTTTAAGAGACTAGACTTATATCTCCTTTTTGCTACTTTTGCTAAATATTATTTATAGTATAAAGGGGAGTAACTATTTACTCCTCTTCTTTACTCTCTACTTCCTCTTTAGCCTCTACTCTAGCTACTACTTCTTATTATAGACTAGCTATCTTAGAGGGTTCTTAAACCTTAGAGGAGGCACTTAGTATAGTCTGCTCTACTAGCAGAGAATATATTATTAACGTGTTTAGAACACGTTCTTAAGTATTTACTATTAAGCTCCTATAGAAGATCCTTACTTCTATAATACCTTATATTATAGTTCTACTATAGTTTACTAGGGCTATTTAAACCTTAGGATAATACCTCTTAAGGTAGTAGATAAGATTACCTCTATTAGAGAAGCAACGCTAAAATAGTTATTAATATATTATAAACGTGTTCTAACTTGTATATATATATACTCTAACAAAGTTCCTATACCCCTAATCTAGCCTAAATAGCCTAGTAGAAAAGCTCGCTAGGAAATACTATATACCTATTATTTAGGTAGGATATTATAGGAGAGAATGCCCTAGTATTAGATAGAAGTAACTTAAGCTTAATATATTACTAGTATAAATCCTACTTAGTATTAGAACAAGTTTATAACGTGTTTCTAACGCGTTCTATTATATACTAACTTTAAAAGATCTTTATAGACTATATTAACTAGTTATATCTAATAATATTAGGAAAGATAGATAGTAAAATAGTATTAAACTCTTAAATATAAAAAGTTCTTATAGAGTGTAAGAAGAAAGAAGAAGAAAGAGAAGAAGAAAGAATATATATTTATCTACTTATATATACTTATATAATAGACTAGAATATATTAAGAACTAGTTAGGAACTAGTTACTATATTTATAGACTAACCCTACCTTATATAAAAAGTAGCTATCTCTTTCTTAAGTTTAAACTGTGCCTTTTGTAATTTAAATAGTGCCTTTTTCTATGCAAGTTCTTCCTTATCTACCTCTAGCTTTTCTTTTCTCTCCTTTAGAGCCTAATTACTAAAAAGAGCCTTTTATTATAAAGTTTATAGTTATAGACTAATAATAAGTTAGGAACATGTTATAAACGTGTTTTATAAAGCATACCTTTAGGTTACTATTAGTAGAGGAGAAGAGCCTAGTAGTAAAGAAGATAGAAAAGGGGCTAGTAAACTTCTTTCTAATACCGCTCTACTACTTGCCCTCTAGCTTTAGGCTTTTAAGTGTGCTCTTTTATTTCTTATTAGGACTAAGATATATCTAGTTAAGTTAGATATAGCAAGACTTACTTTATTATTATCTAGAGTGTTATTATTATTATAGGACGCGTTCTAAACACGTTCTAAACACGTTTTAATTAGCGAATGTGTATAACACTAGTATAAGACTTACTTTCTCCCCTCTAAAGCTTTTTAAGGTACCTTTACTTAAGCCTATTAGGAGTTCTATAGTTATAGTATATTCTAAACTTGCTCTAGGCTTTAAACTCTTTTATATCCTATAGATCTATCTAGTGTGCACTATATAATATTACTTATATAATTCTAATAGGTTAAGAATAGGTTATAAACTTACTTCTAAGTAGCCTTAAGAATACTTACATGCTTACTAGTTTTATATCCTTTCTAGCCTGCTTGCTTAGCTATATTTAAATAAGATTCTAGTTTTTCCTATACCTCTTTTAATATTTTACTATAGTATTATATAATCCTAGTAGCAATTACTAGGTTTTTCTTATAGATTACCTAGTTTTAGGTATCTTTAGAGGGTTCGTGTTCTAATTATATAAGAATAAGTTAGGAATATATTTAGAATAGGTTTAGAATATGTTTACTTATATAAGAGGAGGTTAGTAAGCTAAAAGTATTCCTCTACTATTAATACCTGTAGTAATTTACTTAGACGTAAAGAGGTAGTATTATCTAGCTCTCTTTTATATACTTTATAAATACTTCTTTGTAGATATACTTAACAAAATCTTATACAAGATTAAAGTTACTAGCGCTAGTTACGCTTGTAGGGATTAATTAACTAGAGATAGCGCCTAAGTCCTAGAAACAAGTTAGAAACACGTTACAAATATATTATAGTGCGCTATAAAACTTGCCTATTATCTACTTATTATATATATTAATAGTAGTCCTATAGAATCCCTATAAGTAAATATGCCTCTATAACACTTATCTTTTTATAAGTGCTTTACACTTCTAAAAGAAGTTAGTAATAGCAACTTAATATATCTTAGTTATATCCTTATCTATAATAATTTAGCTAAGTGTAATAACTATAATATATTAGAAACGTGTTACAAACCTATTCTTAATATGTACGCTTCTTTTCCTATAGGTAGAAGATTACTATTAGAATCTCTGCCTATACCCTATATAACCTCTTATATAACATATCTATCTAGAATATGTCTTAATCTAATAGAATTAATACCTACTCTTTAAAAAGGTAAATAATTAAGTTACCTAAGCTTAATATAAAGATTTACTATATATACGCCTATAGTAACGTGTTAGCAACATATTCTAAACCTGTTCTCTTACACTACGTATAGTTTTAGGATCCTAATACTTTATCCTCTACTTATAGTATACTCCTCTAAGGCTACTCTTAAATAGGAACTATAGAAGCTTTTCACGCTTTATAATACGCAAGATTTTATCTTTATTTATAAAGCTAATATGTATTTCTTTAATAGAATAGAAACCTTTAAGTTAGAGGTAGGTTTAGAGCTAGGTTAAGTTTAGGAACTAGGCTATAATAAGTTAGGAATATATTTATAATAGGTTATAAATAACTTATATTACGTAAGCTACAGAGTAAGTATAGGCTACAATACCTTTACTACTTTCTTAATATTACTATTAGATAGTATTAAGGGAGGAGGAGGTATATATATATATATACTAAAAGAAATAATAGTAAAAAAAGGTATTACTACTATATCTATTAGTATAATTACTTAGAAGGTAACTTTATATAGGATTTTAAACAGAGATCCTTACCCTTGTAGATAATTAACGCCTAGAATATGTTAGGAACGTGTTAGGAATAGGTTATAATATACCTACCACACTTCTTTATCTAGCTTAACTATAGCTTAACTATAGAATATAAAGTAGGACTACTAGAAAGATTTAATATCTCCCTAGTTAGAAGACCTTATAGATATATAGAGTCTACCTCTAGTGGTACCTAACTAAAATAATGTTTTTTCCTAGTAGCAGATATTAGGCTATAGTTCTAATAGCTAATGTATAGTTAAGCCTATTCTATAATTTACTAACTTATTATTAATATATTTTAAATATATTTAAGTTTTGCTTCCTACCTAATTTACTATAGTCCTTATTATAAGATAATAAGACACCTAGTAGTCCTTACAAATCCTTAAAGAGAAGCGCTTAATAAGGCTATAATAATAGCTTCTTGTTTATAGTTCTCTTTATAGAATTTTCTTAGGTACTATACTTTTTAAGGTTTAGATCTAATTATATAATATATTATTAATAACGTAATAAGAATATATTTATAATATATTCTTAAGATACTTATATACTTTTACCCTAGAGTATTAGTATTTATACTAGCTTGCTAGCTAGCTATTAAAGAATAGTGAAGTTATAGGCCTGTTAAGATAGATAGACTAGCAGGAGTATTATACCTACTAGAATTAGAATAATTTAAGAATATGTTCTTAACGTGTTACCTATGTAGCCTGTATAAGCACCTCTTCTCTTATTAGGTAAGAGCTATCTTTATATTACTAAACTAGTATTATATACCTATACCCTTAGCTATATAATTAAGGGTATACTAGGAGAATAGCTACATGCTTAATAATTACTAGTATAAGTAGTAGTCCTTAACTATTACTATAAGTAAGGTATATATTATACCCCTATAATATATTACTAATCTATTCTAAACTTATTCTATTTACTTTTACTTACTTCCTTAACACTACTACTACTATCCTCCTCTAGCACTTTATATAGTTGCCTAAATTTATCTCTAATATTACTATCTAGTTTAGATATATTATCTAGTACTACTATACTAAACTCTAGTATAGTATTTAGGAACGCCTATATATTATTAAGAATAGGTTTAGAATATATTTAAAAAAGATAGTAATAAAAACTATATTTACTTGCTTAAATTACCCTAATTTATACTTAACTATAGGCTAGTTTATATAACTATAAAAATTTGCCGCTGTGATGTGGACTTGAACCTACAGGGATATTCTAACCACTTGGAGTAAAGCCCAAGTCGCCCGACGCTAAACCCATGGTCATATGACATGCCACCACGGCGAGTGCGGAGTAGGATCCAAGACCATAATACGAGGGAGGGTTGACTAAGCTCATAAGGCGGCTGACTCTCCCGCCCAATGACTGTCAAGTGCTTAATTTCTGTAACGTAGTCGCCGTGTACCTATAGGGTCGGAATACGCCAAAATGTGAAGCTGTACCCACCCTGCTGGGCAGCGCAGGAGCGTAAGAACAGCTGTCTGAAACGGGCCATGATTTCCATGGGGAATGGTTGTTGCAGCTTCTGTACGACCCTCGAGCTGCTGCTTACGGTACTTTGTACTTTCGCTACACCTGAAACTTTTGATTCTTTTCACCCTCGGAAGAAATTCCGTACAACCATCATGACTTCTGATGCAGTGCAATTTACTCCTGCCATGAATCCTGAACGTGACTGTCTAAGAGGGGGCCCCAGAAAGGAACGCGAGGCCTGGGACCTGCTCAGCATCGGGCAATGTAGAGACTACAGGCCCTGACAGTAGCATACCTGCAACCATGCCAGATTAGTGCACACATCCACATGGCATCATTGCAAGGTAGCAGCTCCGATATATTCAAGAGGATCTGTCCTGATCGCATTGGTCGCCTGAGTTGCGTACTCGACCATAAGTCCGGAACACTGATTGGCGATCTCTACCGCACAAGGACCTTTTCGACAAGACATCCTCATGTCTGGAATATTGCGACTTGCTTCTTCATCCTTTGGATGGAACGACGACCAACCAAACGAACTTGGTCTGTGTGGCGTGTGCACGTACAATATTCTGGTCTTCGCGCCACGATGTGAGGGGAGGCGTTTCGGCATCCAAATCCAACTATCATCCTCATCTGTGCAAGTGTTATATACACACAGTCTAGATTAGGGTTCTAATCAGGGTCCACTGTTTCCATGTTTCAGACGGGCATTAGGTATGATAGACGGGTGCTTGTTCCGCGACAAGCGCGAGACTAACTTACTTGTCTCGACAATCGTACGCTTCTTGTAGAAGCCGCAGTAGTTGCTGTTGGGGCTGTCTTTGCTGCACTATACGGTCCGATCAATGATCATTGTCTTCACCTACGGCCAGCGCCCATGCCCGCCAACCTGGCTTGCGGTGTAGTCCCCCAATACTTGAACCCCAGCAGCTTGTGTCTGCATTGTGAGCGTTGCTTCTGCGTGTTGGAATAGGTGGAAGTGACTGGTATTGGCGCCATAGAGTAACGTATCAAAGGAGCTGCAAGCTGGGTTTAATCCATGCGCGAGTTGGTATATGTCCAGCAGGGCCCTCATCACGGATCGGGCTAATAGTCCCTCCCGTCTACAGCTGCCCGCTGTAACGGCACGGGAGCATACGCGAGAGACGGCGTGACCCACCCGCCCACGCAACGGATCGGATGCGATCGAAGCGCTGGCTCTGGGCTGTAGATGCCTCTTACTCTAGCTCTCACTAGCTACAGGACGCCTTGACGGGGTGGCGTTTTGCTCCAGGTGAGCGACGGCAGACTCTATCTGATTTGGGTCGTAGAGCAGAAGTTCAGTGTGGCCCTTTCACCCATGACTGCGGGATTACAATTCCGAAGTCCCACGAGGGTAGGGTCGAAGAGTTGCATCTCGTCGTCACATGACGCAGCCTCAGCGGCGCTCGATTGATTGAGATTCTCTTGTAGGGCTATAAAGGTAAGCAGATATTCCAACCGAGGTCCTCCATTGCGTCCCTCGTGTTTCTGATTTCTGATTTGTTACGTGAGTGAGCGACGTAGACCACGGTACTGGTTGAATCGCGAACAATGTCGAGGGGTCCCCTTGCTCAAAGCGCCGATAAAAGCGTTCTCATGAGCAGACTGGGATTAAGTGACCGCACCCACAGACTACTTCTTGTTAGTATGAAGTCAAGTTTTGGTATATCTTCACTAACCCGACTGCTGAATAGGACGAAGCTGAGCGCGCAAGGGATGTCATGAGCGCGCAGCCGCACAACTTGACAGAGCAATCCAGGGCCAATCCGAACGTAGTTCCGCCTTACAAGTGGGACGAGCTTTCGGAGACTGCGAAACATAACCAGATTCTCCTGACGGTAGCCAACGCCAGTTCTCAAACGAGACCCTACTATCTAGAGGGCCGTTATATGACCAATGTTGCTGAAGAGAACTGGGTTGCGAGATGGTATCTTTGGCACGCCTTTCGTTATAGGTTTGTGTAGTATGTATGGTCTGGATGAAAGAGCCTACTGATTGAAATCGGCAGAGACAACAGAGTTCCCAGATCCCGACCCCCAGCACCCAATGCAGGTACGACGAGCCCTCAAGACCAGACCATAGGTCCATTATAGATTACGCGTTGAGGCCCCACTGACATATGACAGCTTCCCCCTGTAGCAGTTACTATGATCCGGCCCGTGGGCATTACCGTTGAAGGCTTGGACTGTTGGCCTGTTGAACTCATGAAGGTCAACCGTCTGTATGTGGGTCATACACAGCATGAGCTTCCACGGCATCGTCTCTTGTAGATGTTTGACGATGCCCGGCGATGTACGCTCCCTTTGGCGATGAAGTTTTCCTAGCTCTTGCTGCTTTCTTTTCACAAGGACCCGCTTCCTCGGACACATATTTCGGTTTTGTTTTGGCAGATATGCCAGTATTTCGCTCCACATCGATCCTGAAGAACCGTTTGTTCTCTCTGCAATGCCCTCTCCGCAACGTTGGTACTGCTTTCGCTAGAAGTCAATCGCAATAGGTCGCAATGATTTATTGCGTATTCAGGCCCCACCCATGTCCTGCTGCTCCTACCGTCTCAGCAGTACAACACGCTACCTCTCTACGCAACGTGCAGCGACGAACATTGTGTTGTAAGAACAAAATGAGGGTAGGGCTTCGGAATAAAGACCCTTCCAGGGTGTGACTATGACGTGACGATAATCCAGCGTCAAAAAACTGGTGAATCGTTCCTTCCCCGTGCCCGCACTTTCAGCAACGCGGCGCTAGAATCCCGTACCGGCACCGATGATCCTTCTGCCCCACAACTTGAGTCTTGTCCTATGTAAAACTCTGAGCATACTATAAACTACTTCCGATGGAAAAAAATAGTTGATGGATGCCCCAACTTCTTGCCTGCGGGATAGGGGGACAACACCATGTGATCCTATAGCACCGCGATTGCCTTCACTCACCCACGTCTTCCATCAAATGTCTTGCGGTCGCACCGGTCCCGTGCCCCCCCCCACAATCCAGGACATGACGCTAGTCCTCCTAAGTAGTGACGGTCGGTGCAGGTCCTGCGCCACAATGCACATTGGCGCCTCTTCTCGAGTGCAAGCTACGACTACCGTTGAACATTCGCGGACAGAGTGAGCTTGTTTGCGCGAGGTGGTGCGTGTAGTTGTGACAGTGATCCTTTGCTGGACAAAAAAAAAACGTCTCTTCTTTCATTAGAGTGGTGTAGGTACGTGCAGTGTGAAAAGGCCTTGACTTGCGCCCTTTTCCACGTCTGGTCTGCCGTTGGGCACATAAGAAATACATGGAAACCTCTCAGTGTGACAACGCCATCGCTATGCAAAAAGGAGAAAGCAGGGCTTCCATGTTCCCAGGATAGAGACCATGCGACTCCATCATGACCCAACCTGGCCCATTTGCTCCTGCAGAGATTTCTGATACCGACTGCGTGCGGCGTTGATCGCGCGGAGGAGTGGCTCTACAATCTGGTTGACGGCCTGGGCCCCGCCCTTGATGGCGTCCGGATCGAACTTTCTCTTCCTCGCGGAACGCTGATTTGCATATTCATTGTCCTTCCTTAGCTGTTCGACGCGTGCTGTGCGCTCCGCCTCTGCCGCATTTGCCACGGCAGAAATGCGGTCGAGCGATTTGTCCAACGTCTCTATCAGTTTTGCCACTTCGTTGGCGCGGTCAGCGTCTCCTGAGTAGAATACGGCCCAGAAATAGTGCAGGAACTCGACCGTCGTGTTGTGCGTCATCGTAAGACTCTCCAGGATACTCTCCGGGATGCTGAGCTTCGATGCTAACTCGCTGTTTGCGACCGTTTTGGAGGCCAGGTACTCATCCCCATGCAGATGCTGCTTCTTGATTGCTGATACCGTCTGCAGTGTGGCCGCTTTTCGTGAAGCTCGACTGCCAACCCTCAGCTTCTTCGGTGCAGCATCTTCCTCATCGCTACTACTGTCGTCGTCTACTTGAATGGTGGCATGCATGTCCACCTTGATAGCACCGTTATTCTGTACCCCCAGACGGCCGAGGTCGTGCTGCAAGGTAGACAAAACCTGCGCCGGCGTCCGTTTCGTATATGTGGCAGCACTAGTCGAAGTGTGCACGCTTTGTCCTGCGGAGAAGAAGCGACTCTGATCTTGTACTTTGAGGACTACCCTATTATCGTCATCGGCGCGTTGCAAGTCGCGGAGCTGCAACTCCTTGTAGGTTTCCTCGTCAAGACCAACAGGCGCATGCCGGCTTGCATCGGAATTTGGCACTTCCTTCATCATCTTCTCGCTCATTCGGTTTAGTACGCGCAATATTGGCGCCTTTTCGAAATTCGCTGGGTTCATGGTGAAGTCGGGGCGGTTACCCTGTTTCTGGCTGTGATTATTCTCGTTGCCCTCTATGTTGATGAAATTAGGTATGGAAGAAGCAAGCAGCTCATGATCCTCTTCAGTCCTTTCATCGTATGCCAGGTACTTGTCCAGCTTGGGATCAAGCACATCCTTGTCGGAGATGCGTTCGCCCTTGAGTTTCTTCATCAGACGACTGTGGAAGAACCTCTCCCAAAAGTCGCCCTCACTCAGTTGGGGAACATTCTCATTGTAGGCTTTTTGGACGACGGGATGCTGTCGAAAGAGGAGCTCAATCTGCTCCTTGGTGAGGCTGAGCATGAGCGCGCCGTCGACCGTTTTTGCCTTGATGACAGAAAGCACATTGTATGTTCCTGTAGCCTGTGATCTCTCTATAGCATGCGACCTCAACATGTGTACCCTGGTGGACCAAAAGTGGTTGGAAAACTGTCCCAATGACACAGAATCTGGCTTCTCTTGCAAAGCTCGGTCGAAGCGTTGACGGAGTATGGGGCTTGAGTTGAGTAACGACATCTGCAGCTCCAGGTCTGTCAACAGCTTCGTGTCTGCATATTGATCGTCCGTGTCCTTTGCCTCCGCTGTCACCGTCTGAGCCATGGCCATGGCAGCTGATGTTCCGCCTGCGCCACCTGCAGGAGGCGTAGCAGCAGGGACTGGCGTCGCAACATTCTGCGACTTGAAGGCTTCGATCCACTTGCGCAAGAGACCGGTGATGTTTTGCTGGTCTTCGCGAGCGGCGGCAGAGGTGAAGGTCAGGGTGTGGTTTCCAGCCTGGGGGGAGGGCTCTTGTACGACGATTTTGATCGAGGCTTTGGCTGAAGTCGCGGGTGTCTGCTGAAGATCTGGGCAGGGTCAATCGTGCAACATTCTGGTTTGGTACCGGGAGTGGACAAGGCCATACTTCCAATGTCGCCAATGGCTATGGTCAGCGCAGGAGCATTAGCGGCCGATGCCGTCCATGAGACGGTCTTGCCGTCTGCAGAGACCGTGACCGTGCCATCCTTTTTCTTGTATTGCGCGGCCGCGGTGGACATGCTGGTCGAGGGGCAGTGAAAGAAGCATGGACAATGTACCTCGATGGCGTGGTGTTGGACAAAAGCTTGGCTTGGGCCCAGTCCAAGGTTGGACTGGAGGGTTCGCGGGTGCACGGGTGCACGTGACAGCGTATTCTCGCCCCCCGTCGTCACTTCACTGTTGGGAGGAAAGATGCAAGCGTCGCCATCATAACATATATAAGACGATAAATCACTTTGATTCTTCCTTGCTGAGCATTCAGT